TATTTGACACCTACGCTCAAAATATATTCAAGTACTTGCAATCTAGGAAACGCACACAAACAACCCAAAACTTCAAAAAAACTTCTTATATACAATTTCGAGCAAACGAGAGCCAATGGACATAACACTACGGCCTTGTTTTCTTCTCGTCCTATATTTCTTCTTCTTCTTTTAATCCTACTATAGTATATGTGGTAGAGTTACTTTTGCTACTATCCGTTATATACATTACCATTTTGGCTCTATAAAGATTGCTGTCATATATGCTCCTGCAACAGTATCAAGACCCCGGGCCTTTTCCACTTCTATTCTTCAATTGACACAATTTGGCCAACCTGCTCCTTCATCTCGTTTCCTCTTCCTTAAACATTTCAACTATACTTACAGCTCTACTTCTTCATACCCTTGTCATACATCTCTACCGTGGTTGCACCACGTTCATGAAACCTTAATTGATTGTGTCACTGATGAAGGTCAAACTCCCTATTCCAAAATTCTGCTGAAGAATGCAAATGAGTAGTATCAACTACAACTTTGCAACACCAGGTCTAGCCGGCCTCAAATACGAGCCTTCCGTAGATTACGACAATCCTATACGAGCTGATTATTTTCTTACTACGATTACTCTATCTTTCGGTACAGCTCATACCGAAAGAGGTTTATGGTGTGCTGACTCTCGACTGAAAATACCCTCATATTTCCAAGAACGCTTCTCTGTGTCTTTACAGGGTATCTTTCCCAGTTTGACTCAATTACCTTACCCTTAAGATAGATGCAAAAAAGTCAAGGCTATTCTTTGCCAGGTTGCTAAAACATTTTCTCGGGTATCTACCGCTTGGCGTGCTGCATAAGAAAAGGCAATGAAAAGCAAACTCGATCGACTTATACATAAATACAAGATCTACCATATCCGAGATACACAGCTTGTTGTTGTCGAACGTAAGTTTGCTCTTATAAAGCAAGAGCATGTAAATATCCTTGTTCTTAGAGCACAGAAATATTAGAGATAAAATGAAGAACATTCTGCAGGATGCCTCAAGAGACCTGTTGCGACTAAGACAGCGCAAAAACATATTCCTTTTTTACGCCACTCTGTTTCAAATGCGACCTGCAGTACGCCTAGTACTAAGGCTGACGCTGCTAGTGCATTCTATGGGGAGGTTTATACCGCTGATCCTACTGATCACTCGACCATTGACGATTTTCTCCACAATGTTCCTGAACATGTCTATCTTAATTAAACTGTACGGTCATCCATGACTTCCTCCTTCATCTTTGACTAAATTTGCTCTGCATCTGATAGATCTCCCCGCAAAAGTATTCTTCGCTCTGATGGCCTTCCGTATGAGTTTCTGTTATTAGTGTTAACTGAGGATGTATATTCCGACATGGACACGACTATCTATAGTCGTGCTCTTTTACATGGTATATTTCCCCCATCTTGGAGCTCTACTTGTTTATCCCTGCTACCTATAAAAGCCGACCTTTCCACTTTAAAAAACTGGAAACCTATTTCATTAATCAAAACTGATATCAAAGCCTTCGCCCGTTTGCTAAATTTACGTAGCACACCCGCCTCCAAGTCACTGGTTAAGCAATACCAGACTGGCCTTTTTAAAAGGCAGTTAATTACCAATAATGGGCTTATGAGCCGCATAGCTATGGAACAGACACAGCTCTCCTCCATTGACTCCGTTGGTTTGTTGCTTGACCAGGCAAAAGCGTACGATAGTGTACATCCTTAATATCTCAAGCGAGCTTTGGAACGATTTTGCTTTCCTGGTATCATTGTCCACTGTATTTCCAAACTTTTCTTCTCTATTGACGTATCTGTTAATGACAATGCATTTATTTCACCTTCTATAGAGCAACAACAGGGACTTTTCCAAGAAGATCCATTGTCACTCTTCCATCTCGCCTTTGAGCCCTTGCCCTGATGATTGATCCATGGCACTTCGTTTTATGGATCATGTATCTACATTGACGCTTTTGACAACTCTACACCACCACCTGTTAAAATACTAGCCCACTCTGATGATTTCTTGGTTTTTCTTCACATTCTTGCAGTTTTTTTTTATTATATACCAACACTTGGACGCATACTCTCGGGCCTCTCATGCACAAACAAACCTACGTAAGATACAGGCCTTTTCGTTATCTGGTGCCTCATCAACCAAATCGCAAACTCTTCTCCAGACAAGTCTATTACTGCATGACATTATCGCACTTCACGATCTGTCCTGGCATACTTAGCGTCTCCTTTAATCTTGTTTCTAGCTTAACGAGACTAGTTCTATTAGTCACTCATGCAATTTGTTGAATCTGCATGTCATATTTACTCACAGCCCTCACTATTACTACTTGGTCGTTCCACATTTCTTATCACACTGATTCTCTCTCGCATGCAGCGTGTTCTTCATGTCACTATTGCTCATATCAAGTTCTTTGATAAACTTGGGTCTATTATGCGTCAGTTCCTTCACCAGAAAATTTTACCCATGGCTAGTCTAGCCTCTCTCTGTTTTCCTTGGACACAAGACGAATTGGGTATATTAAATCCTCAATTCCAAATTCCAACAAAAGGCCTTTACCATGCGATGGTTAAAGCCCTCTATATATCCACCAGCGTGTTGCTCCTTTTTCACTCCACGGATACAACACAGTCTTCATCCTGCCCAAACACACGGCGATATTCGACCACCTTTGTTGTTTCCACGTCTGCGACACCATCATTTTTTGTTCTGTCCACAATGAAGCCCATTCCGCGCAACTTCTCTTTTGTCACTGTTGGCTACTTTATTTTTGTGATCCTTCTGGACGTACTACAACAAGTTGGCGGAGGATTTTAGCGTCTGATACGTTTATATATGATGAGGAGTTAGAGGCCGTCCGTCCTCGATCACCCAACGAAAGGAATTCATCTCCATACCTCATTTCCAAACTGTTTTGCTATTTTTCTACTGAAAGAGCCACCCTTATCCCCCCTTTAACATCCCTCTCTCTACTTGCCCACAAAACCACTGGCTTTCACCTGTTCTTTATTTGTTGCTGCTCTTAATCCAAAATATGCCCTATTTAGTACTCTTGGTACCCATAGTTTTTGTGCTATATGCCGCAACCCATTCAAAGCTCTACTTGCTTCTTTGCCACTCACCCCACGATAATGGTGCACCTTTTGGTCATTTCCTATCCCTCACTCATCTGATAATATATGGTATCGAACTATCCTCAATACCCTCTCATTCCAAATCACCCTCTACCACCATGCCTCTGCACTATTTGACACTGTAGTATACACACCGCAATTGAGTGAAGTGCATACTCGACGACCAAACACTGGTTACTTCTTGCTGATGAACCTGACAAGTTAACAATCTCCGGAGCTGTTACGCACCAGGCACACGTACACTACACACTCGTACAGTGCAAACCAACCATTACACAACAGGGTTTTGATTTACATGGATTTTAATAGTATCAAATATAAGTAATATTACTCTGACTCGCTTTAATAAACAAAGCTTTCAAAACATCTACTTTTTCCTATATTGAGATACTAGCTCAATAATAATCCCGAATACCTCAGTGTACCTCAGTGTGTGTATACGAAAAACTGCATAATTTATTTTAAATAGCCGTACGGTAAAATCTGGCGGATTAATCAATAAACAGCACCGACAAAAAAAAAAGGAAACTATCAATAGTGCTTTTGAGAAATGATATATTATTATTAGATAATTAGTAAATCTCAGCTATATACTCTTTATAGATTAAAATCTAAACTCTTAATCAGTTTACGTGAATGGAATAAGAATTTTTACAAATGGTTTATGTGTATGCACCTTGAACCTTGAACCTGAATAAACTTATTCGAAGGAGTATTCAAGCAATCATGATTGTTTTTATCTTGATTTTGGGAACTTGAGACGGCGGGTGTATTTGGTGACCATCGCCATTTGGAAGAGAAAAGCAGCGACATTAGGAGATTGAAACTTGTAGAACGAGGGAGAAAAATAAAAAGTAATAGTAGTTGGCTGTAAAGAGGTCAGTATTCCGACTCTAGACACTATACAGCTCGAAAGCTCTTCCTAATAATAAAGTCTCTTACTATTCACTTTGCCCCCACTCAAGTACTCTGTTCAAGACACGTGTATTCAAAATTGCAAATGATTGGCTCATGTCAAAATAAAAAAAAAAGAACGCGTCTCAAATTGTGTGGCCCAAATATTATAACGCGTTTTAAAAAAAGAAACACTCTCACGGTATTATTTTTCTTCTTTGCGCTTTTTCATTAGTTTACTCCAATGTACAGCAACACCAGCAGCAGCAGCAGCAGCATCAGCACCCAGAAAAAAGTGTCGTCCAACGGCTCACTTGTGTTTGGCCCAAAGGCCATTCACAAGCATGTCCCAAAGCTGTTGAGACACACAATTCTGGTTAGATTAGCCAAAACTAATCTAGCCAAAGTTT